AAAAATCAGCCTTTAAAATAAAAATCAGAACTCATGTGCAAATGTTAGTTATACTGAGAGGATGTATCTTCACTCAAAACATTCAAAAACATTCTTTCGGAACAAATCCAACTTATTAAGCCACAAGAGAAAGTCTTATTACATTAAAGGCATTTTTAAAATCTTAATTAGTTATCTATTTGAAAATGGCTACCTCAAAAATAAATTTATTCAAGCCCTGGCCAGTGTGGCTCAGTTGGTTGAATGTCATCTCATGCACCAAAAGGTTGCTGGTTTGATTCCCAGTTAGGGCATATGCCTGCGTTTCACCCTCGATCCCTGGTGGGGGGGCATGCAGGAAATAGCCAATTGATGTTCTGCTCTCACATCAATGTTTCTCTTTCTTTCTCCCTCTCTTTTCCTCTTTCTCTAAAAATCAATAAAAATATATTTTGTAAAATAAATAATTTAAAAAATTTGCTCTCAAAGTATACCAGACATGACATTTTCAAATACAATAAAAAAGCGTTTCACAATTTTTAACTTCACAAAAGCACTGCTGAACTAAGGATATTGCTCCTTAACACTTGGTAATTCTGAGACTTGTTTAAGAGAAAAAATTTTACTGTATGCTCATTTTAAGAAAATGAGTAAAGTGGACCAAATATATGGTGCAGGAAGATGATTTGACTTTGGGTGGTGGGCATACATGTATCATGGATATGTACACTTGAATATGTGATCTTCTTAACCAATGTCACCACAATAAATTTAAAAAATATTTTTAAAGGGGGCGGAAATGGACTCACATTCAACAAAATACAAAACCTGAGCAGAGAAAAGTTTCAGAAGGAAATAATATGGAAAGGAACCCTGGGGTTTCCTCGTGGGATTCTCTTTTATCCCTGTACTAGAGGCCCAGTGCACGATATTTGTGCACGGGTGTGTGTGTGTCCCTCAGCCCAGCCTGCACCCTCTCCAATCTGGGACCCTCGAGGTGGGATTGGGCCCAAACCAGCAGTCGGACATCCCTCTCACAATCCAGGACTGCTGGTTCCCAACCGCTCACCTGCCTGCCTGCCTGATCGCCCCTAACCACTCTGCCTGCCAGCCTGATTGCCCCCAACTGCACCCCCCTTCTGGCCTGCTCCCTCCCCCACTTCCCTCCGCTGCTGACCTGGTTGCCCCACACAGCCTGCTGCTCAGTCCTTTGGTTGTCCCTCACTAACCCCCCTGCCAGCCTGGTTGCCCCACGCAGCCTGGTGTTCAGTCATTTGGTCGTCCCTCACTAACCCTCCAGCTGGCCTGGTCGCCCCATGCA